AAACTATATACTGTAACTATCCTCTCAGTATCTCAACTATGCTCTCATTATCCAAACTATATACCGTAACTATCCTCTCAGTATCTCAACTATGCTCTCATTATCCAAACTATATACCGTAACTATCCTCTCAGTATCTCAACTATGCTCTCATTATCCAAACTATCTACAGTAACTATCCTCTCAGTATCTCAACTATGCTCTCATTATCCAAACTTATATACCGTAACTATCCTCTCAGTATCTTAACTATGCTCTCATTATCCAAACTATATACCGTAACTATCCTCTCAGTATCTCAACTGTGTTCTGATTATCCAAACTATCTACAGTAACTATCCTCTCAGTATCTCAACTATGTTCTCATTATCCAAACTATCTACAGTAACTATCCTCTCAGTATCTCAACTATGCTCTCATTATCCAAACTATATACCGTAACTATCCTCTCAGTATCTCAACTATGCTCTCATTATCCAAACTATATACCGTAATTATCCTCTCAGTATCTCAACTATGCTCTCATTGTCCAAACTATATACCGTAACTATCCTCTCAGTATCTCAACTATGCTCTCAAGTATTCCAATTATGTATTGTTACTATCCTCTCAGTATTCCATCTTTGCTCAATATCCTTTTATCTCCTCACATATCAACGCTTAATAATGTCCAAATATTTGCTTTTTATCACCTAATTGTTCTTCTAGAGATATTATCCGATGTTTGTAGGACAGAGCGTAGCCTAATGGTTATCATGCTCAGACCGTGAATCTAAGGGTTCAAGTTCGTGTCCCGTTGTCTCAAAACTCGCTCGCACTTTGAGGTCCTCTGCGCGCTTTAAGAATGACGGTTAAGTCCTATTATTCCGTCATGTAAGAGTGTCCTCTAGCGTAAAATTCTGAAACAAATAACAGAATAAATAAACAACAGAAGAATTGAAACAAATTTAATATCTCGTCAGGGACTAAGTTTTCTATAGAAACACGAAGTTCTCAATTAATAATTAGACAGATAAATATTAGCCAAAGAGCATGGCAAACGGAACCGCAGAGTGAACTTGGACTTGCCGATACACAGCCCGGCACGCTAACTATTAAACCACACGAGATCCATCTTATGAATAAATAGGTTAAATTTTGAATTAAGAAGAGGGGTGTTTAGAGGTAGTATTTCTTCTCGAGGGACGTGAAATGAAA